GGGGGCATGGGTTTGATCCCAGGGAAGGGAATTAGATCCCACATGACACAAGGAAGAATTCCCATGCTATGACTAAAAGATCCTTTGTGTTGCAATTAAGACCTGCTGCTGTTGCTAAGTTGGTTCAGTCGTGTTTGACTCTACACGACCCTATGGACCGTAGCCCGCCAGGCTTTCCCTGAGATTCTCCAGGCAAGAATCCTGGTAGGATTGCCACGCCCTCCTCCAGGGGATCATCCCGACCAAGGGATCAAACCTGTATCTCTTCTGTCTCCTGCATGGGAAGGCAGGTTCTTTACCACTAGCGCCACCTGGGAAGCCCCGAAACTAAGACCTAGTGCAGCCAAATAAAGAATTTTAAAAAAAAAGAAGAAAGAAGGAAATCTTTGGGGACTTCCCTCATGGTCCCGTGGTTAGAATTTCATACTTCCCACGCAGGGGGCAGGGTTCAAATCCCTAGTCAGGGAAGATCCCACATGCTGTGCAGTGAAACAAACAAACAAAAGTCTGTCTTACAGGCAAACCAATAGGATCTGTGAAGATAAAGGGCCTACGGTAGGAGGAAGATGGGGCACTGAAACCCACCTAACCCATTCAACTGCTTTGGTCAAGGCAAAACCTCCTCTTAGGAGCTCTGCCCTCTTCTGACAGATGGGTGGTCTTTGAATTAGGAAATGTGGCAGAAGGAGAACAATCAAGGCCTTGGAGAGCTCCAGATGTGCTGAGCTCACAAGCAGGGAAGAAAGGAAGAGAGAAAGCGCCTCATCAGGGACGCAAAAGGAAGCCTGGAGAAGCAGACAGATGTGAAACCGGCAGATTCAATAGAGTGGCTGCTAGGGATGCATTCAGATAAGAAAAGTAGGTGGTAGGATGGCTTGCTTGTTTAGAAGAACAATGTCCCAATAGTCCTGCTGTCAGCAGAGAAAAAATGCTCTATTAGCTAAGCATGGAGTCAGCCTGACCAAGTCTGAAAAAAAAAGCCATTACTTAGTGATAGACACAGTCTATGAGAAACAGACTGGGAAGGGGCAGGACAGGGGCTTGCCCTGGTCTCCGAATGGTGAGATGGAAGTGGGTTCCTTTGGTCTCTTTAGGCCTGACATCTTGCTTTCTGGTCTACAGTGCCTGTTGGAGGAGAGATGGGGGGACCCAAGAATTAAATAACCTTGAGAGAACACAGTAGTGACTAGAGGATTTCATCTTTCTCTCTCTTCATTTTTAAAATTTCAAGATATCTGATACAGCCAAAAGAATATATGTTGTGGAGTCACATATGCTAAGTTGCTTCAGTTGTGTCCGACTCTTTGCAACCCTATGGACTGTAGCCCGTTAGGCTCCTCTCTCCGTGGGATTCTCCAAGCAAGAGCACTGGCATAAGTTGCTATGCCCTCCTCCAGGGGTTCTTCCCGACCCAGGGATAGAACAAATGTCTCTTATGTCTCCTGCATTGGCAGGCAAGTTCTTTACCACTAGTGCCACCTGGGAAGCCCATATAGAGTCATATGCATAATAATAAAACAAACACCTGTGAACTCACCACCCAACTTAAGAGCTAGAACACACCACCATTGTTCAAAGCTCTCATTCCCTACTTTGCCCAGAGGGGATCACTAATCTGAATTTATCCTACAATCTTTTTATGTCTTTACTTTTGGCTGCACTGGTCTTCATGGGCTGCACATGGGCTTTCTCTGGTTGTGGTGGCTTTTCTTGTTGAGGAACACAGGCTCTAGGTCACAGGCTTCAGTAGTTGTGGCGCAAGGGCTTAGTTGCCCGAGGCAAGTGGTATCTTCTCAGACCAGGGATCGAACCCATTTCCTCTGCATCAGCAGGCAGGTTCTTAACCACTGGAACATCAGAGAAGTCCATCCCACAGTCTTTTGCTTTCCTTTATATTTACCCACAAGTAAATCCCCAACGAAATGCATAGTTTTGCTTAATTTTTAATTTAACAAGAATGAATTTTTTTCGGTGATGACTGTTTTCATTTATTATGTTTCCAAGACTCATCCTGACGTGTGTACAGTTCACTCGTCTGAAATATGCAGTGTTCCACTGTGTGACTATGCCACAATTAATACGTCCATTCTTTTGTCCAAGGGCATTTGGATTCTTTCAAGTTTTTTTTTTTTTTTCTCTTTTGGAAATTCTGCTGAGAACATCCTGGAGTTTACGTTTCCTGGAGTTTAAGCATACGACTTTCTATGGAGTATATACCCTGGAGTGGAGTTACTGGGTCAAATTGTTTTTCTGAGTGGTTAACCCCATTTATGTTTCACTCATTAGAGTTTCTGTTGCACTCCATCCCCTCACTGAGGCTCGGAGGTGTTCTCCCACTTTCCCGCAGCATCCCTAAGCTCAGTTATCTCTGCTGGTGACCAAGGGGCGCTCCCATCTTTCCCAGCCTGAGCCTATGATCCTTTTAAAGCCCCACTGAATGTGGTGAGATATTTCTGTGTGTCCCTATGCTCCTAGCTGAGTAACACTGAGCACAAGAGAGAAAACAACAGGTTAGAGACAGACTGGGGGTCTCAGGGTCTACGTGACCATCAGAATTCCTGGATCATTTCGGAGAGTGAAGGCCGGTGGGTAGATTTGTCAGTTCTGTCCTAACGCAAAGCACACCGGAGCCCTGGGGTAACTGAAGAAGGCTGATTAATTTCATTCCCTGTCTGCCCCCCAACAGCCTCTCCTGTTCTCAAGTGAACACTATTTACCTCCCTCCACTTTCTCTTCCACTCTGTCAGTACTTCTCCAGGTATAGTCTACCAGCTAGCTACATGAGAATCAGCTGGGATGCCTGTTAAAAATGCAGATTCTCAGAATCTAAAAAAGAGTGGGTATATGTATAGGTACAACTGATTTACTTTGCTGTATACCTGAAACTGACACAACATTGTAAATCAACTGTGATTTGTAACATTGGGGTATTTTATACCCCAATAAAAGCTTTTTAAAAAGTTATTTAAAAAAGCAGATTCTCAGAGCCCTTCTCCTACTGAAACAGATTCTCTAGGGTTCAGCTCAGGAATCTACTCTGTAACAAGTTCCCCAGGTGATCTACGCGCACATTGAGGTTTGAGAACCGCTGCTATAAGCACTGCCATCAGGGAGGTCAAGCCAAGGTCATCTCTAGGCAAGTTCAGACACTCTCCCAATGCCTCCTCCAGAAAGACTGAGTTGAGGGACTTCCCTGGCGGTTCAGTGGCTAAGACACCACACTCCCAATGCAGGGAACCCAGGTTCGATTCCTGGTGAGGGAACTCGATCCCACAAGCCACAACCAAGAGTTTGCGTGCCACAACTAAGACCACGTGCAACCAAATAAATAACTAAATAAATGCTGTGCTGTGCTAAGTCGCTTCAGTAGTGTCTGACTGTTTGCGACCCCCATGGACTGTAGCCCACCAGGCTCCTCTGTCCATGGGATTCTCCAGGCAAGAATACTGGAGAATTGGGTTGCCATGCCCTCCTCCAGGAGATCTTCCTGACTCAGGGATGGAACCCCTGTCTCTTAAGTCTCTTGCATTGGCAGGTGGGTTCTTTACCACTAGTGCCACCTGGGAAGTCCCAACTAAACAAATATGTAATATTTTTAAAAACAAAGAGTTAAATCCCATCTTCTCATGACCCTTCTACTTCCCACTGTACCCCAGGGCAGCAGGGATAAGACCACTTAAATTGTAGCATCTGTGTGGACCAGATGTGCATCCCACCACTGTTTACAGTAAAGAGAAACTGCACACGGCTGCCTGTTGGCAGAGGCCCAGTTTCATTGTAGTACATCTTTCCAGTGGAATGCTATACAATTATTAAGAGTGACTTTATGTCTTTATCATTGCATCTCCACTTTAACGGAACTGAAACTAAGTATTCAGACAAAATCTTGTGCAGGAATAGTTCAGTACTACTCACAATAGCCAAAACAGAGAAACAACCCAAATGTCCATCAACCGATGAATGGGTAAATAAAATGTGGTATATCCGTAGAGTGGAATATTATTGTTCAGCCATAAGAAGGAATGAAGTATTGATACCTGCTGCAACATGGATAAATGTTGAAAACATTACCCTAAAAGAAAGATGCTAGGCACAAAAGGTCACATATTGTATGATTCCATTTATATGAAATGTCCAGAATAGGCAAATCCATAGAGGTGGAAAGTATATTAGTGGTTGCCTGGGGCTAGGGGCAGAGGGAGGTGAGGACTGACTGCTTAAGGGTTATGAGGTTTCTCTTGGGGGTGATGAAAATGTTCTGGTAATGGATGTACAATATTGTGAATATAATAAAAACTGAATTGCAGACTTTAAAATGGTCAAATAGCTTTATGTAAATTTGGTCTCAATAAGGACATGTTCAATTGTAACACCCAATTCAAACTGCCTTAAACAATGAAAAAAAGATGTGTTTTGAGTTGAAGGTACTTAAAAACAACCCAATGTGCACATTTCACTTCCATTCCTCAAGGGCCGCAAACCCACTTTGCTCCAAGACCCTTGCTCATAAGCTCTGGAGAGGTGCTGTGGGGACAGCACATCGTGGAGGTAAATAGATGCCTGAGAGCCAGATGGTCTGGGGTTCCAGCTCTGGTCCCGCCACTAACTTACTGCCGCACCTTCTGCAGAATTCTTAGTCTTCCTCCTCTCTAAAATGGGGCAATCACAGTCCCCATCTCATTCGATGCTTGTGAAGGAGAAGAGGGAACGTCTTTGAAACCCCAGACAGCGCTTGGCCGTAATAAACACCTAGATCAGCTGTTTAATATTAGTAGAGGACAGCCTCCTGAACGTAGACGAGTGGGAAAGCCCCTCCAGCTCCCAGAGTGAGCAGTTTAATTAAGCCTAGTAAGCAGAGCAGGTAGGAGAGGATTTCAGAGAAAAGCAACATGAGCTCATCTTTTCTGAGCGCTGTCTCAGCGGCAGGTTCTCAGGCCCTTCCGCGAGTGAGTCGTTTCGCTACCCACCCCGCCTGCCCTCCCGCCCCCGGCAGATATGCAATGGGGACCAGAGACGCGGGCGGCCGCGGCCCCGCCCCAGCGGCAAGGAGGGGGCAGGCTTGGGGCGGAGAATTGCGGGCAGTGGTCTGCGGCCTTGCCGGCCTTCTGGTCCCGGGCCGGGCGGCGGGGGTGGGCGAAGGCCGGGGAGAACCAGAGGCCTTCGCCAGGAGCAGCGCGGTGCGGCCTGCGGGGAAAACCGAGCTTAAGGGCCTGGAGGACGCGGGAGCTGGAGGAACTTGAGGAGGACGGGGCTGAGGCGGGAGGGAATTGGGGGATGCCAGGGCGCGGGGCGAAGGGTGCCGGGACATGGGGGGCGGGGCGGGGACGCGAAAGAACCCCGGGGGGTGGGGGTGGATTAGAGGGTTAAGCGAACCGAAGGGGAGTTGGAATACGCCGGCCCCGCCTCCACGAAACGCCCTTGACCGAGCTCTGCGCCCTTCCCTTAAAGCCCACATTTGGGGCTCCGTACGAACCCTCCCTGTTCACAAGGCTATGATAACTCACTTGTCTCTTCCACTGGTCTGCGATTGTTTTCGAAGTTGTTTTTATTTCGTTTTAAACAGTGCACACAGGATCAACACTGTGTCCCTCTTCTGCACTTCAGCAGAGACCTCGGGGCTTCTTGAGAGCAGGCTTGGTCTATTTCTACAACCCCAGTGCCTGGAACAGGGTAACCTCTCCGCATTTGGTGGTTGAGTACATAATGAATGGTTGCCTGATTGAACTGCCTTTGCTGGGAGGCATATCGCACCCCTGGGGCTCTAGAAGGAGAGGTGGAGGGACTGTGGCGGCGACCCTGGCTCAGAAGTACTAAGAGAGGCTACAATCACTTACGTGTGTTGTTGTTCAGTGGCAAAGTCGTGTCTGACTCTTTGTGACCCCATGGACTGCAACACGCCAGGCTCCTCTGTCCCCCACTATTTCCTGGAGTTTACTCAAACTCGTTTCCATTGAGTCGGTGATGTCCTCTAACTATCTCATCCTCTGCCGCTCCCTTCTCCTTTTGCTTTCAGTCTTTCCCAGCATCAGGATCTTTTCCAATGAATTGGGCTTTTCGCATCAGGTGGCCAAAATATTGCAGCTTCAGCTTCAGCAATAGTCCTTCCAGTGAGTATTCAGAGTTGATTTCCTTTAGGATTGACTGATTTTGATCAATGGTGAGGCAGTAATGAGCAGTGGTGTGAGGTGTGCTCCTACTTTTCTGCCCAGGAATTGAACCTGGGTAGCCTGAATGGTTGGATGGCATCACCGACTCGATGAACATGAGTTTGAGCAAGCTCTGGGAGTTGGTGATGGCCAGGGAAGCAGCATGCTGCAGTCCGTGGGGTCACAAAGAGGCTGATGTGACTGAGCAACTGAACTGAATTGAGCCTGGATGAAAACCAGGAATCCTAACCAGGGTTAGCAAGGGTTAGAGGGTAGAAGCTCTTTTCCTCTGGATCTTTGTCCTCAGTGAAAAATGCATTTATCATAGAGGCAAAAATTGTAAATCAGGTACAAAGTTTATCACTAGAGACAGAACAACAAGTGGGAGAGCACATGGACAAACAATTTGTTAAGATAGAAACAAGACAAAGATGCACACCTGGAGAGAAAGGGTATGGATGTCCCCTCTAGTGAGGAGGAGCACCGTAAAGAGGCTGTTAAGTCATTTATACAGGTCAGCTCTTCTGGACCTCTGTCTTCCTTTAGGCCAATTATCTATCTGGTTTCTTTTCCCCTGGGATCCTCTTCTGGGTGTGCACGCACCCCTCTGCCAAGATGGATCTTGAAGTGAAGACTTCTGGGAGGAACAAGATTCCTGATGGCCTGGCATTATCCCTTGACTTTTTACCTACAAGGAATCTTTCTGCACATGTATAGTGTCTCCCTTGTCCCAAAAGAGGGAGGAGTGGAGATCCCTTAATTCTTTACTCAAACAGGGTTTTGCCCCTCTTTGTCCTTGCTATGACTACTACCTTTAGGTGTTTAGAAGAGATAAACACTGGCTATTGACCCTGTTTCTGTTGTTACATCCATTTTGGAGATCAAACAAGAGGCTAATTGTAAATGCCTTAACTGGAGCCCATCTATCTCTTGTTTCAGGAAATGCTAACAGTTGTTAAGTATCCAGCCTGGAGCCCACTTCTTCATGCCCCCTGAAATGCAAAAAGGAGGCCAGTTGTAAATGTCTAACCTGGAGTCTCTCTATCTCCCCTCAGCTTGATTTCCTTGCTGTCAAGGGACTCTCAAGAGTATTCTCTTGCAACACAATTTAAAAGCATCAATTCTTCAGTGCTCAGCCTTCTTTATGGTCCAATTCTCACACACCCATACATGACTACTGGAAAAACCACAGCTTTGACTAGGTGAACCTTTGTTAGAAAAGTGATAACTCGGCTTTTTAACACATTAAGTGTGTGTGCTGGTGGACAATGTCAGAGCACACGCACTGTTCTTCCCTCTTCTGAGCCTCACACTATCCTTGGGGAGTAGGTATGGCCAGTGCTATAATTCTCATTTTACAGGTGAGGAAAATGAGGTTCGGAGCCAGAAGTTAGGTAGAACCCAGGCTTGCCTGCTTTCTGAGGCCAGCCTTCCTAGAGCTCCTGCACCAGGCTTGTAGCTACTGATGCCAGGACGGCTGGCATTTCCCCTGCTTTTCCTTTTGCCTGCTGCAGATTTCAGGGCTGCAGGGTGCAAAGAGGGGGCCCTGGACTGGTGACTACGGTCAACAGTAGGTGGAATGTTGGTAAAGATATTAAAATAGAGCAAAGCTGTCATTTAATACCTGTTCAAGCTTGATTTCATGCAGGTGTACTTGCCAACCCTTTATAGGGCTATATACTTGGGGAGGAGGGTGGGCTGATGAATGAAACATAGGACTTGCATTCAGGGAGCCAAAACTTGGTAGGACATTAGCTTTAATATTTATATTTATTTATTTGGCTGTGCTGGGTCTTAGTTGCAGCACTCAGGACCTTTAGTTTTGGTATCCCCACTCTTGGTTTCGGCATGTGGGATCTAGTTCCCTGACCAGGGATCAAACCCAGGCCACTTTCATTGGGAACATGAAGTCTTAGCCCCTAGACCACCAGGTAAGTCCCAGGACATTAGGTTTATATATAGGATATTTAGGAGTTCATGAGGTTATCTAAAAACAGCTGTTCTCAACCAAAGGAACACAGCATACCTGTGGAAATTTTTAGGAATACCTGCACAGAATACTGTTGTCAGTCACACCTCAGACCCACTGGATTAGAATTTCCTGGAGTGTGATCAAAGTATGTGGATTTTTTTAAAAAGCTTTCCCTGGATTCTGATGTGCACTCCTAGATAAGACCTGTTGCTTTAATACAGTTTTTATTTTTTTAGTGATACATGGAATTCCCTGACAATCCAGCGGTTAGGACTCTGCCCTTCGACTGCCAGGGGCCTGGGTTTGATCCCTGGTGAGGTAACCAAAATTCCCCAAGCTATGTGGGGGGAAAAGATAAATAGTCACTGGACCTCCAGGGAAGTCCCTATGCTAAATGTTTTATATATATATTTAAAATTTATTTCTCACAGCAACCCTATGAGATTTGCACAGTGAGCAAATCAAGGCTTGAATAGTTTTAAGTAAATTGTCCATTATCAAAGGGTTAGTAAGCGGTGGGGACAGAATTAAAGCCCTGGCTTTAATTTAATTTAAATCCCTGTCTGCAGAGCTATGATCTTTCTGCTTTGACCCACAGAGGAGTTGGCAATCTGTTTGTTTTTTTGTTTTTTTGTTTTTTTTATCAATTATTATTATTATTATTATTTTTTATCACAACCATAGTGTATCTTTTTTTTTTTTTTTTACATGTATTCCCCATCCCGGTCCCCCCTCCCACCTCCCTCTCCACCCAATCCCTCTGGGTCTTCCCAGTGCACCAGGCCCGAGCACTTGTCTCATGCACCCAACCTGGGCTGGTGAACTGTTTCACCTTAGATAATATACGTGTTTCAATGCTGTTCTCTTGAAACATCCCACCCTCGCCTTCTCCCAGAGTCCACAAGTCTGTTCCATACATAGGAGTCTCTTTTTCTGTTTTGCACATAGGGTTATCGTTACCATCTTTCTAAATTCCATATATATGTGTTAGTATACTGTAATGGTCTTTATCTTTCAGGCTTACTTCGCTCTGTATAATGGGCTCCAGTTTCATCCATCTCATTAGAACTGATTCAAATGAATTCTTTTTAATGGCTGAGTAATATTCCATGGTGTATATGTACCACAGCTTCCTCATCCATTCATCTGCTGATGGGCATCTAGGTTGCTTCCATGTCCTGGCTATTACAAACAGTGCTGCGATGAACATTGGGGTACACGTGTCTCTTTCAGATCTGGTTTCCTCGGTGTGTATGCCCAGAAGTGGGATTGCTGGGTCATATGGCAGTTCTATTTCCAGCTTTTTAAGAAATCTCCACACTGTTTTCCATAGTGGCTGTACTAATTTGCATTCCCACCAACAGTGTAAGAGGGTTCCCTTTTCTCCACACCCTCTCCAGCATTTATTGCTTGTAGACTTTTGGATAGCAGCCATCCTGACTGGTGTGTAATGGTACCTCATTGTGGTTTTGATTTGCATTTCTCTGATAATGAGTGATGTTGAGCATCTTTTCATGTGTTTGTTAGCCATCTGTATGTCTTCCTTGGAGAAATGTCTGTTCAGTTCTTTGGCCCATTTTTTGATTGGGTCATTTATTTTTCTGGAGTTGAGCTGGAGGAGTTGCTTGTATATTTTTGAGATTAATCCTTTGTCTGTTGCTTCGTTTGCTATTATTTTCTCCCAATCTGAGGGCTGTCTTTTCACCTTGCTTATAGTTTCCTTTGTTGTGCAAAAGCTTTTAAGTTTCATTAGGTCCCATTTGTTTATTTTTGCTTTAATTTCTAAAATTCTGGGATGTGGGTCATAGAGGATCCTGCTGTGATTTATGTCGGAGAGTGTTTTGCCTATGTTCTCCTCTAGGAGTTTTATAGTTTCTGGTCTTACATTTAGATCTTTAATCCATCTTGAGTTTATTTTTGTGTATGGTGTTAGAAAGTGTTCTAGTTTCATTCTTTTACAGGTGGTTGACCAGTTTTCCCAGCACCACTTGTTAAAGAGGTTGTCTTTTTTCCATTGTATATCCTTGCCTCCTTTGTCAAAGATAAGGTGACCATAGGTTCGTGGATTTATCTCTGGGCTTTCTATTCTGTTCCATTGATCTATATTTCTGTCTTTGTGCCA